CATCCACTTCCACATTCCGTTTGGACCACCAAGAGAGGCACGAAAAGGATGTCGCCGTATCAAGGTGACCGTACACGTGGCTAGGTTCCCACGAGGCCCTAGAGCGGGCAAGTGCCTCCCGGATAGAAGAGACCAGGTCAAACTGGGCTTGTTGCGGTGTGACTCGATTGTCACCAAAGGTGCGGTGTGACTCAATTGTCACCAAAGGTGTTGAGCAACGCCGAAAATCCATCGAACGCAATCCTAACGCGGGGTGGTGATCGAAGTGTTGGGGCCCACTGGTCCAGGAACCAATCAACAACCATGATACCGGCCAGTAGGCCAATTAATTCACTCCGGTACGCGCTCTGGTCATCAGTTAGACCTGGAGTCTGGCACCGAATAATAATACGTTCCGTGCCACCCTTACGTGGAAGCAGTTGAACCGCTGCCGTGCCCAGACCGAGCTTATAAGAACCGTCGCTGATCACACACAGCCGGTCGTCGAGTAGGGCTTCAGCAAGGAGGCTTTCGTCGCCATCGATCTCAATTTTGTCAGGGGTCCAGCCAACATACTCGGTCACCCTGGCTGAGGCGGCCATCCAGGCGGCCAGCAAGGACGGTTGAGAGTCGTGATGCGGCTGCAGCGGTGCTGTCCCAATGCCAGTGAGGGCTAGAGTGCCTAGCGAAGGCGTAATGTGGACAGTAGCTCGGCACAAGTCAGCTGGGAGTGGTTGGGTCCAAAAGGGGGCTGGCAAGAAGCTGACGCCGTGGGCGGTATGCTCGTTATGTGGTCGTTTGCACCCGGACAATTGCGTAGAACGAGGATAGTCCCATTGAATGCTCCGTGTGGAGGAGCGACGGTGACGGTATTGTTGCCGACCGTGGCCCTGGCGGTGGAATAATCCGTGGGTAGAAGACCATAACCAGTTCCAGTTGTCGAGAGGATCGATCCATGGGCCCAGAGGATGACGCAGTAGGCGCTGGGGTCCGTCAGAGACAAGTAGTGCTCGAGTAAGGTGTTCCTGCCACACCTTCCAGTGGTTCCTGTTGGGCCGGACAGTGCGAGGCCATTGATATGACGACCGATGAGCGTAGTCACGTTCCCCATGCCACATGGACTCTCGTATGCTGCGGCCATCGGCCGTCACGATGTCGGAGACGGTGCAAACTTGGAGGAACATACGGCACCAGTTGAGCCACTTTAGAGCGTCCTGATCCACTTCCAACTCCATGAATACCTCAATGAGCAAGGCATCGCCTTCGCACCGGAGAGGGAGGACAGGCGAGTCAAGGGCAACGTAGATATCCAAGTCCTCCAACTCTTTCCAGACTCTTTTGAGCCAAGTATCTGACGCCAAAATTGCCGTGTTGCTATAGTCCTGCTGGAAGAGTCCAAAGGAGGTGCCGGTCTCGAGTTGGTGTTCTTGAACCGCAGCCTCCATATACGCCCCAGTTTTTGTTCGGTTGGACAAGTGGCGAAGCAGGACCTCAATATGTTTAGACACCTGAGTACCAAACGGATGAGGGATGCCCAGACCCTGGAACTTGATAGGGGCAAGAACCATGTCCCGAGGAAAGCTTCTACATATGCCGGCCTTCGGCAGGCAGACTTGGAGAACAGGACTCATAATTGACACCCATGTCGCAGCATCCAGTGTAGTTAACACCATAGGATATTCCAGGGATTTCATCACTGTTGTCTTGATAAGGGGAATGACATCGTATTTGTGTAGATGCCCCGATCGCACTTGCTCAGCCCACTTTTTGGCGATACTCTTGAGATGGACGACGTGAGCATGTTGATCTTCCAATGGGGCCAACATGACCCCCAAGGTTTTCTCTGCCTCATCCGGCTCCAGACGGCGTAAGGCTTCCAATTCGCCAGTCAGTCCCGGTATTTGTAATGGATGATCCGGTAGGAGTTGGTGTGTCCGGCGGAACCTCCATTTGCCCTCTCTGGAGTCCCACACAAAGTCAATCAACCACCAAAAGGACTTTTCTGGGTTAATTGCCCCTCCAGTAGCACTAATGCCTCCAGCCCACGTGGAAGCCGCTTGTTGGACGGAGTGACATATATCCTCGCCAGATTGTTCCACGGACTTGCCCGCTTCGATCACATCCGTGTTGTCAACGAAGCAGAAGCACTGAGCGGTGATCAGTTGAGAATCAATCGCGGTGAGGCATTCGAAGCCGAAGCCCATCGCGGTCATCATCTGGATGATGACAGAGCTAACGGAGACCCAGATGGGCGGGCCCGCTCCGTTGCCCTGGCCGCAACCCTGAAATGGTACCATGGAAGGAGGATGAAAGCTCTCTTCAGAGTCACCAAAGCCTGTCCGCACTCGGTGCATGGACGTTGCGAGAGTGTCAAACATCATGCGCAACGCATTCCAAGTAATCGCCAGACGCATCATAGCTAACACCGCAACCCAATGGACGACCCGATCAAAACACGACTTTGTGTCATTTGAAATCCAGCCCGCAGAGCGGCGCTGGAGAATCAGAAGGTCCCACACAAGGCGTTTAGACAGGGCAAGATCGATCGCTTGATGGTGTTTTCTAGACCCGCACTGTCCATCGGCCAAAGGTGATGTTCTTCACCGTAGGCCATGGCCAGGCGGCCCAGTTTCTTGTAGTTCGCTTGGGATTCAGAATTCATGAGCTGAATCGTACGCATTTTTGTCAACCGAAAGTCGCCCGGCTTCTTTTCAATGGCAAAATTCATCAGATGCCGCCAGTTGTCAGGGACAAACCCAGTTGTCAAGGGTATGTGGCGGAAGAGAGCGTCGCATTGGGCCACCATGGGAGAATAAATCCCAGCCTTGAAATGCCCGTTATGAAGC